ACAGTTGTCACTTGTATTTTCTTTCTTCAATCGAAAGAAAACCCATTTTGTGTAGAAGCTGTCTGTTTGAAGCACAATCTTCATTTAAATTCACGTCAAATAACTTATTTAAAGAGCGACCAGCGAGTCAGGAATACGGTAATAACGCATATCTACGCATATCGATTTTTTGTAGATCGATTGCAGATTAACCCCCCACCCCCACGGAATTTCCAAGCTACTTTAACCCCCAACCCCCTCGGAATTTCCGAAATCCTCCGTGGTGGGGGTATGGATATTTTCTGGAACTACACAATGCATTGCTTGTGGAATCAGTTTTTCCCAAACATACCTGTATCCTACAATACAGATCTATTGTACAGTACACGTACAATCTTTTTTTATGATTACATGATACATCCATTCAGCCATATGTATATAGCTATTTCAAAAAAGGTTGTCGGATAAAATGGCGAACATCAATGATAGAACGGCGATTGCACGACTGAAAGGTAGCCATGGGTTTTGCTAGTTGAAAGGAAATAAGTGGTTTGTACTGTAAGTCTGTGGCTAACTTGGTTCCATTCAGCCTCCATTTCTATGTAATGGGAATCCAATAATTGCAATTAAAAGTGTAATTAAAGTCTCTTTTGTTCGTGCAATCTCCCTTCTACAATCGGCGTTCGCTGTCCTCCACGACAACGTTTTTTGAAATAGCTGTATGATACTTAGACTTGTACATATACTACAATGTTCATCCAAGTTGCCTTTGAACAATTAATCAAAAGTGATGTTACATTGCAGCACCGGAAACTTTAATGCGTGCACTGGAGCTTCTAAACTACCTTGGTGCCTTGGATGACAATGGAGATTTGACAGAACTTGGCAATATGATGGCAGAGTTTCCACTAGATCCACAGCTTGCCAAAATGGTCATTGCTAGTTGCGAGTTTAATTGCTCAAATGAAATACTTTCAATCACGTCKATGCTTTCAGGTAAATGATTTATTATAAGTTAATGTGTACTTGTATGTTATTGCCTATAAGTTTTCTTGATATCAGCTTACATACTGCAACCAGTTCTCATTATGTTGAGTTGCTCCCAATGCTTTGAGTGCATGTGGGGACATTTTTATCCTTATTCACTTCTGTCAATTCCAATTCCCAGTCAATGTTTTCTTTGCGGAAGTGATTAGTAACATGATTCCATTCCAATTTGTCACTTTAAGATATTGAGTAATGATTTGTGAGTCAAATTAAGGTTCGTTTCTTTACAGTTCCTCAGATTTTCATGAGGCCCACTGAAGCCAAAAAGGCAGCAGATGAAGCCAAGATGAAGTTTGCTCACATTGATGGTGATCACCTAACTCTTCTAAATGTCTTCCATGCTTTCAAACAAAGTAAGTTCTTCTCAGTACTGTAAAGTACAGACATTTTCTTTTTCTGTTTTAAGGCCATTAATTAAGAGACACAAAAACCTCAACTTGTCACACAACATTGTTGTTCAAGATTATAATTAGTGTTCCTTGTTTGTTTGTTTTTTTGTAGCTTTTTTTCTTGCACGATGACTTATCAGTGATTAAGCAAGTTGAAAAATGAAAAACATTGTCACTAAACTTGAACAAAAACAATGTTGTAAGACAAGTTGAGTTTTTTTTCCCTCATATTTCTTGGCCTTTATATCCACCACACATCTTGTTAGTCAGTCTGTCTCTGGTTTTTCACTCAGGTGTATTTTATATTAATATATTTTAATAATGATGATCTTTAACAATATCACTCTGCTTAAAACAGATCACGACGATGCTCAATGGTGTTACGATAATTTTATACAACAACGTTCACTTAAATCAGCTGACAACATCAGATCACAGCTAGCTCGAATTATGGACCGGTTTAAACTAGCACGAAAGAGTACGGACTTTAACAGCAGAGACTATTATCTGAACATTAGAAAAGCCTTGGTGTCGGGATTCTTCATGCAGGTACTGTGTTTGTATTCAGCTTTGTAGTTTGGATTRTAACKGGATGACTGTAATTCGGAAATTCATTGGGGTATAACCTTTTTGGGAGACCTTGGGCAATTTCTTTAAACATTGAATAAGTCTACATGTACGTCTGAAAATCTATTCCTAAMTGTTCCTTATAGATCTATTGATCTTCCTTGCTTCAGTTTTTTTTACATTCAGTCTTTTTTTACAGTCAAACCATTAATGTTTTCCCGTCGTGAAGACGTAAAGACAAACAACAACAAGTCATTTGCATATATATCATTTTTTTTGCAAAATGTTTTAACCTCGAGTTCAAAAGATTTTGACAATGTGAATAACATTTAACTTGCAAGCATGATCTGGAGTTTGAAATCAAAATCATTCACGGAAAAAAAAATGCTTTGTTTTTGTCTTTATGTCTTTACAAGTGAACAGTGTTAATGGGATTCACTGTATGTGTATAAAGAACAAATCCAATTAATCCAAAATCCAACAGTAATAGATTTTTTTTGTGATGTAGAAGTGGCTTGTAAGATTATATTGTGACTGAGAGTCAAAGCAATGAAAGCAATGGATTGCATTGWYTGATTGTTCTTTTGTTTTGATTGCTATTGTTCGTGGTAATCAGTGTTCGGTTGTAATGTATTAGATCTTGCATCAGCTTCTACATGAACTATTTTGCTATTGTATGGTAATTAGATTAAAATACAAATAAGCCTTTGTTTTTAAGAAACACAGTTAAAGATACATTTCTTTGGCATATTGGCACAAGTACCTGAAAACTTTAAATTATCAGGACAATTTTGCACTTATATGTTTTGGGTTCTTATAATGTTAGTATTGGTTTTGTTCTTTATATTAAATACCTTAAATCTAGTGTGCTTACTAGTACTCTTGTACTGGTAAGTGATATAATTTCATTTATAAAGTATTATAGATACTGATCTTACAATGTGAATCTACCCACCCCTCCCACCTTACATTGAACTATAAGTAGGTGGCACATCTAGAGAGGTCTGGACACTACTTGACAGTCAAGGATAACCAGGTGAGAGATGTCATTTTCTTTTATTCGTTCATTCATTTATGAATTCATTTCTCAATTCATTCTATCATCCATCCATCCATTGATTAACCCATCTTTAGTACTATTCATCCATCCAGCAAAAAATGTTGGAGTAGATGACGTCATTTACTCCATCCTTTTGTTCTTCCATCTTTTGAATCAAAATTTCTSTGAYGTGGGATAATTCCAAAACAAATATTTTCCYGCAATTGTTTTTAATAGATATAAATGAGKWATATATTTGTATTGCTTGAAGTACTTTTGAAATAAGACCATTTTCATGCAAGTAGCACTTTAATGAATAATGATTTTGCCTTCCAATCCCTAAGTACAATAATTTAATTATGAAATTGACTGTGGTTGGTTAATTTCAGGTAGTACAGCTGCATCCGTCAACATGTTTGGACCACAAACCAGAATGGGTTTTATACAACGAGTTTGTCCTCACAACCAAGAACTACATTAGAACTGTAACCGAGATCAAGCCTGAATGGTTTGTTATGAACATCTATTAAAAAATTGTCACTATTGGGATTCAATTTAATGAATGGTAATAATTATTAACTTTTCCTTATTTCTGTCATCCCTAGGTTAATCAAATTTGCCCCTGTCTACTACGACATGAGGAACTTCCCAATGTGTGAGGCTAAGAGGGTGCTGGAAAGAATYGTGGAGAAACTACAGAGAGTCAAGTGAATGCCCTCCTTAGTGTCTGATTTAGCCACTGTACATTGTGATTTTGCATTAATAGTCTCCTTCACGGTTCCCTGCGCCATCTTGAAAGGTAGCCGTGAAGGAGACTATTGTATTAAACAGAAACTTGTAATTCCAGTATTGTTAGGTCTGTTAGTGTTGTAGGTGTATGTTGGTGTATGTTGGTGTTTGTATATATGTATGTGAGTTTTTGTTTCTTTTTTCTTTTGTGTGTTACTTCAAACCACTAATTTTGAAATAGATAGATTGTATTTGATTATATTTCCAACATAACAACATGCATAAAACATTTTGTATTTATAGTGCATTAAAAGTTGTGTTTACTCATATGAGTTTTTAGTGTCTTTTTTGTTTGAGAGTGAGGTCTTAAAACTTGTGAAACACAATTTGTCACTGTCAAATAGTCACAAAGTCAAATTTTGTCTCATAGATGTAATTCTCCTTCACTCTAAAAAATCTATCTTTTGTCCATATCTCAATGTTCCCGTTTCTTCTATTTCCTGTTTTCAGCTAAAACATCCCTGGAAATGTGTCCTACAAAAGCAGTGCATACTAAAATATTTTTTTTATTGTTGTCCGAAATGAAAGTATGACTGGATGGGATATGAGTAAAGGAAGTGAGATTCTTTATGAAAGATACAAAAACTGCTATTGAGTGAATGCAATAGGCAATATGCATTATTGGGTCTTTTACTACAACTACCAGAATGCTTTGCCAAATTTCTTTTGCAATGCAATTAGTGCCAAGTGTTTTATTAATCTCCAAGAGGATTAAAAATCTGAATAACAATGAAAATGCGCAAGGCTCTCTGGTAGTTGTAGTAAAGTTACGCCATAATGCAAATTCCAAGGGAATTTAAAATCTGAATAACAATGAAAATGCGCAAGGCTCTCTGGTAGTTGTAGTAAAGTTACGTCATAATGCAAACAGCCTATTTATCCATGAAAATGTACAAAATCAAAATAGAACAAGGCCGCCTGGACGTTAACAAGTTTGATCTGGAATCTAGAAGTCGAAAGTCCTTTGAATCGTTATTTGTGCGATTTTGCATGAATTACGTGTCGGGCTTCCTGTGTCGACTATCCGGGTGGGATTCCTTTGTGTTTAGCCCATTCCTTCTCTAACACGTTAGTGGCCAGGAAACTTGGCTAACAAATGGAGAATCGCGAGCAACAAAGAATCATGTAGTAAAATTGATTGTTTTGTGAGGKAATTGTRTACAGACAAAGCATTTTGCATCGTTTGTCTAGGAATTAGACAAAATGGCAGGTCGCGGCCGCGGAAGAGGGAGTTTAAACCGATGGGATCCTGGATTTGATGGTCGCGCGATAGCTTCTGTGACTCCACTCAAAAAACACGCACAGACAACATCAAGCAAAATGGACGAGTTAAAGTTGTCTTCTGTTCGAGTTACATGTATTATTGATGTTAATCAYTTTTGGGCTCAATTAGGTAAGACGTTTGRTGTKAKTTTTGTKATTTTTGCGATTTTTGTWGATGGGCCATTTAKTTAATGAATGGTGAGGGAAGGGGGGTACTTAAGCTTACTTAAGTTACATGTACTTAAGTTAACTAACCTCCAGAATAATATGGCATTTTTAAAGTTTGTTGATGTCAATAACAAAATATTTACATACAATTATATATACTTAGGTAAAGCATTAAATCATTTGGATATAGTTAATAGAGGGGAATGGTTTGGAAAACTTTTGTTGTACTTCTTTTGTACATCTTTTGTCTGTCTGATTCAGAATCAGACAGTCATGACCGTGCACAACTTTGATAAGAATGTTGGTTAATTTTTTTTTATGCATTTTGAAATAGTCAAAAGAATAATTTTACACTTCATCTGTTCATTCAGATGTGACCCAGTATGGCTGAAAYAATTTCAATAGTTAAACAAAAGATTGTGCCTGGTCATGCTTGGAAAAATGTGCTCAAAAAACCCCACAACAAAAGGTTTCCCAACTATTTCCCTCTACAAACTGTGATTTGAATAGATATTAGTACATTTACACATATTTAATTTGTTAACTTATTGGATTTTGAGTAATKTGTATAAAATGTCTTTCCTCTTCAATGTTTTTATTAATAGGTTCAAACTCTGACCTTGAGCATTTTGATAACTACATGTTTGCTTTGAACCACTGGTGTGACAATCAAATACCTTCAACCATTAGTGACATGCCTAATGTCGGTCAAGTTGTCTGTGTGCAACATGCTGCTAGTAGGATGTGGAGAAGGGCCGAGGTCACAAGACTTAGTCAAAGGTCTGAAATAAAGTGAGATTGCAAAACCTATGTGAAAACCTTTCAGCGTAAAGTTGAAAACAATTCTTTTATGCGTACCWCATGAGTTATTAAATGGACCAGTAGCACTCTGGATGCTTTGCGCACCTTGTCAAAATTGTGCGTGCGTGACAATTTTGACAAGGTGCGCAAAGCATCCAGAGTGCTACTGGTCCATTTAATAACTCATGTGGTACGCATAAAAGAATTGTTTTCAACTTTACGCTGAAAATTATTTTGACAGCAATTTCAGGCTGTTGAGAGTTTGATTAAAATAAGCTTTATAAACCAGCTGAGCTTTCAATGAAGCAAGAAATAAACATCATGAGCGATTCAGACTTCAATGTTTGCATGGCTAAACCAAGCAATTAAAGATAAGCACTACTTTTCAAGGCAAAAGCAAACGACTGCATAGCATCCAGGGTAACACTGGGCTTTTAACAAAGGTATCTCTAAATTCTTTTTCCAGGATGGTAGATGTATTCTTTCTGGACTACGGAGAAGCTGAATGTGTTTCTCTTGATATGTTATGTAGTAATGTTCCTACTGATATAACATCCTGGCCTCCACAGGCCTTGTACTGTACTCTTGATGGGGTACAACCACCTAAGGTAAATAATATGACATTATGATAGGTTACAGTAACCTTATATTGTGACCTAATTAATTCTTGAGTTTCTGTTACATCATCAGAATTTTTGTTTTACTCGCATTGAAATATGACATTTATACCCTTTTAGAGCATAAAAAGCTGCATATTTTGACCAAAATTTAGGATTGTAGAGCATTTGGTTGCGGAATTAATATTCGCTATTGAAGATAAGCAAAATTTGGTAAAAATGTATGGCGGAAATACAGACGGTGGTCAGATGTGACCACCATCTGAACCCACAACAGAAATTTGAAGTTTTGTTGACATACTTTATGAAACCCAAGAATATCATTGGTGAGATGTGGTGAGATCTTTACTTTCTCAACAAGGAGAATGTACCTCTACATTTGATTGTTGYCAATCAGCCAATCGGTTTATTTCRTTCACTTGATATTACATACAATATTACAATTATTGATATAGAAAGTRTAGCTATTTTAAGTGAATAAAAAAGATTGAATTTCATTCCAAGATTTCACATTTTTACTTGTTTTGAAGGGWRAAGATCAGTGGAGTGAAAAAGCTGTGAAGAGATTTAGAGAACTTGTGTCCTTTGGACAACAAAACTTGGCTGCTAGTCATGGAAATGGGAGCTTACAGTTAACACTTTATCTTGTGTAAGTACCCCATATATTCGCTATACGGGGACGTACCGCCAACCAGGGTATCGTTTTCACATTTTGCTCTGGAACAGGCTATCGTTTTCAGMGATTTTACTCTGGAACAGGGTATTGATTTTTGGTAATTTGATAAAAATGACTCAATGAAGGATGATGAGAGTTATAATACGTAGATGAGTCAGACTCACTTTTTTATTCATKGAGATATGTTTTAGTATTTTTCATTAATATTGTATTCTGTAGTGATGAAAATGGTCACATGAAGTCAGTGGGATCAATTCTTGTAGAAGAAAATCTTGCACAGGTAAATGTGTTACTCATTTATTAACACAAATAGGAAACATGCGCACTTGCTCTCTACCATATTGATTCATTTTTTTGTTCTTTCATTCATTCACCCATTGTTCATTCCATTTGTTAATTTATTTTATTCATCTATCCTATCCAATATCTATTTGTTCTTTCATTCATTGATTCATCCATTTATTTATCTTGACATGTGATTGTTCATTTGTCTAAATTGAGTTATCCATAATACATTTCCCAGGTGGTATTTCAATATTATAGTGCATAAATGTATCCACCCAACCACCCAACCACCCAACCACCTACCCACCCAGCCGCCCATCCACCCATCCATTTGTTTATTATTTAAAATTTCTTTTGGCCATATTGATCGTATTTATCACATCTTCTTCCAGGAGACAGGTTATGAATCAAGTGGAGAGAGCGCTTGGCCTGAAGTACCACAAAGAAGCCAACAACACAAAAAGGAGAGTGAAGCTCTCAAAAATCTAGACCAACTTGAGCAGCAGCTAGTGATGAGTGGYTTYTCATATCTAYTGAACCCTTGTAATGAGCAAAAACCAGAATTCACTTATGAAACAACAACAATATCAAGCTCTTACTGCACTTACAAGGGAAATAAAGGTAACAGTTGAACTTGTTTGTGTTTATTTTGAATATTTGTATTAAATTATAGTACCTCATGCACAAGTACAAACAATATCTTTGAAATAGATAGAGTGCTCGCTTTTAAACTATGAAACAAATAGTACTAAGTACTACTAAATCGTGTTGATTATACAATAGGAAACATAGGAATTTGTATCATTTAAATCACCTATTTTGTAGTTTTATTTCACGCATTTAGTGCAAGCACTCTAGTACCAAATTATTAAGTAAATAATCCTTTTTCTTTATATCTAGTGAACAGTGACTATTTKTGCACTATTTCCTGGGTTTTATTGTTTGCACAATTTCAATACTTAGTCTTTTTTCTTTGCTTTTGCTAGAACCACCCATAGTGTCCTCATCTAGCAGTATTCCAAATTTTGCCRCAAACAAAGATAGAAGTCCACAGAGTCAATTGTCTACAAGACCACATCTTGCCAGTCCAGGTGAATTCATGACTTCATCCAAGTCTCCTTTTGGTAAGGAAGCAGGTACTATAAAAAAATTGGTAGTTTGTTCAAGGAAATATGACTTTGTTTAATTTGTGTGCAGGTTAAACATGTACTGACAATTACATGTAAATTATCCTATCCTTGTACTTCTAGTCAGTGGTTTTCTACAGGARGAAAGTCATTCCAGACAAGATGCTTCTAAAAGTTTACCAGGAAATACAGACAGCAGTCAACACAATCCGTGGTTCAATACTTGGTCCCAACATGACTGGAAACTACCTCAAGACAAAAATAAATCTCTCTTTGGATCCAGTGATGTGTATTCCAGTGAGGGACGAACTTTGGCTGACCTGTCATTCAAAGATCCAAAGTCAGCTGGTACAACATTGCAGTACCATTTAGATGGACCCAGTGCATTCCATGATCCTAAATATAAACAGCAGMAGCCAGTTATGGGACCTTTTACCGTCACAAGTCAGCCAGGAGATGTTTTTAGAACCCAGTCAAATCCCCAACAACAAGKGACRGATTCATTCACAAAACCTCAACTACCAACAAATAACAGCAAAGACAAGACTACGAAGACAGAGCTAAGCTGGCAAAAGTGGAAATTCCAACGCAATATAAAAAAGCTTTTTGAAAAAACCCAGTCAGAGGATGTTGATGTTAATGWTGTTGGTCTTGAAATAGGGACATTGATTAACAATAGCAAATTGTCACAGAATTTTGAGGGCATWTCTGAAGTCATGGTTGTCCTAGAGATGATAACGGAACGAGTGTTGGAGAAGACRGGGTTCAGCAGCCTCGCAGCAAAGATTTGTAGTTTGTTGTCAGGTAAGCATGTGAAAAAATGCACACTGAATGGAGGTAAAGTTCACCACAAACTATTTTACAGTATAAATCAGTTATTTCCCATTGAACAGCAGAACCCATTGCTCCTTTTAGTTGTGTCATTTCCATTTAACAATAGTACTTTAACCCGGGCCAATGACGATTTTTGAAAATGTACAGATATACATATTGTACAATCACAAGTTTGCAGTCTGACAATTTGAACAATTTTTGGAAAGTCCAATTAAGACCTCATTGAACATAATTAGAAGCTTTAATTGACAGTTACCTTGGAAAGTACAGTTAAAATGATTGTACTAGCAGAAATATTATTATATTACATAATTCTTTTGTAGGATTAGGGATACCTCAGTTTACAAGATATATGTGTGAAGTCATAACTGCCATTAAAGATGATCTTGGCGAGGTAAAGACAGCATTCTTGACTTCCTAGTACTCCTACAGTCTCAGTTTCCTTAGAACAACACAGTATACAGTATGCGGTGGTCGGTCTAAGCCCGCAACCAATATTCTTTATTGCAAAAAACCTCCCCTACATAACATGAACTTCTTCAGCCTGTCCACTCTCTGAATAAGACTAATGTACATTTGATATAATAAAATAAAATAAGACACTATGTCACAAAATGAGTTATTAACACGAACTTAGACCACAATATATACACAGCTCCTATTTACATAATGTCATGTGAACACTAGTGCCCAGTCCTTACGTCGCCAAGGAAATTATTTCTCTCTCCACTCACACTCACTACGTTCGTAACCGTTATACATTTCTTGACTTACAATTAACCATATCAGCAGGCTCTTATCCTTTACATCATGTTTTTCAGCACCAAACGATCAGTGATTGGGAGGAGAGATGTGAGCGTTTTTGTTCGTTTATGGGTGAGATGGTTGTGATTGCCGCTGGCCAAGAATGTACTGATGCAAAGTAATATTTCTTTCCTAAATTTTACAATCTTTATATTTGTATTCTTTAAAAATCAGGGGCGGATCCAGGATTTTCCTCAGGGAGGGGTGCAGGGCTCTCAGGAGGGGGTGTACCCCCGACAAAATTCATTACCATAGAGATACAAAATAAGGAAAGTATTGAAGGATACAGATCTCAGGAGAGGGTGCGCACCCCCCTGCACCCACCAGCCGGATCCCCCCTGAAAATAATAATAGTCTATAATATTAAGCTGAAAGCTTATGATAGCAAACATATTTAATGTGATGATTGGGATGATGATATTAATTCACCACCAAACACTCAAAATGGTGGTTCACTAGTAAAATGTCGTATTGGCCAGCATTGTTTGATGCTGATTGGTGATCTATCATTTCTTGTACTACTACTACCCTGTTACATCTTGTCTTGATTGCTTTCTTTYCAGCTTCAAGTCTGTGATTGACATACTCATCAGCCAAAGCTTAGAGAAATGGATCACACTTGACAAGGTTGGAAAAGTATTTTTTTAGGTTTTGTCCATTTACAATAGCTTCACATTATTCAAATACAGCAATTTCCGAAAACATTGAATAGATTAATGTATACTGCATACTGTGAATTCCAAGACTGCAATGCATTTGTGCTATTAAACTCCTTGTTAGCTGTCCTACTTAAGCCAGCCGCACACGAGAGGAAAGTGAGCAAGGGAAATGCCACGCAAGTTGCTGTGTATGCCCCAATTTTTGCTGTTTGCAGTGAGCAAAACACTGATCAAAGGGCCTCGCTTGGCTTTTTCCTTATGCACTTTCCTTTCATGTGCAGCAGGCTTTACTATCTATTGACGTTCTTAACTGTAGGGAGCTATTACAAACACCCTGACTTCAAAAACTTCTTTTGCATGACCAAACAAACATTCAAACAACAATGCATTGCAGTCTTGGAATTCACAGTATGATATATTCAACATTTTCTGATAGCTGTTACATATAGATGTGTTAAAGTACAATGATACTTGCTATGTTTGTAGGTGGCTGATGAGAAGCTTGATGAGTATTTGATATGTTTTATTGCYCTTCTTGAAGTTATTGGTCCTGTTATGGAAGAACACAACTTACGGTGTGATTTTTATATTAATAGTTTTTATTACTCAATATTTGATAGTTATTTGTTTCTAATTATTTACATTGCATTAGGTGAATCAATAACCATAGCGTTAAAGCATTGTAAGCTACTTAATGATATTAATTGTTAATCACTATTGGACTTTCTTTTAATAGATTTGGAAACTTTGATTTGGAAACCATTTTCAATTCAGTTCGAGATCATGTATTGTCAGATGATATTCCAAGGTAAAAACATAATTCATTCAATAATGGAATGTTTGCAGTATCCATAAACTCGCACATCATGCATAATTAATATTATCATCAAGTTTGCAGACACATCACCTATCCATAGAACTCTGTCTGCTATTGCTTGGGTAATGATTGGTTGAGCTTCTGACCAGGCTGTCAGGATATGTGACAGATCTGTTTCCACTCCATGTATCCTATTATGTCTTTGATACCTGAATTTCTTGCCTACTATCTAGGTCAGCAAAAAGTGCTCTTCTCGATCTCATGCTTCAGAGGGCAGCAGGATGGCCAGAGAAACCACTGGACAAGGACACTGTTGATRATGATGATGACATTGACAATGTGTCTGTAGAAAACGAAGAATATGAGCAAGGTACAGTATGAACTGTATTTTGAGATGTTGATAACTGAATAGGTAGTAAGATTTGCTGTTAAAGAGAGCAAAGCTTCACCATCAAGACCAAGAAATATGAGAATATAAAAAGAAAAGACTCAACTTGTCTCRCAACATTGTTGTTCTTCATGTTTGATGTCAATGTTTCTTACTCATCATCTTGAGTAACCACTAGCAACTTGTAGCACAAGTAAAAACAAGCTAAGAAAAACAAGAAACTTTGAAGTTTAACTTGAACAGCAATAGTTAAGGGGCAGGTTGAGGCTTTTTATATTTTGTATTTCTACATTGTATACCTCTAACTTTATCTGTACTAATCCATGTAATTTGATCTTTTTGTCTATTGCTTTGACAATTGTCGCAATAATTAGAAAACAACTTTACAGTTAGGTGTATTATGTGATACTTAAAATTTGTGTTGTGTTGGTCATAGACTGGGATCCTTATAGCAAAGTATCTGCAATGCTGGAGAAATTGAAGCTTGAGGACCTTTTTAAGAAGTTTAAAGATAACCGCATCAGAGTAAGTTGAAGTCATTGTATGTGCTGTGTTTCTAATAAAAAAAAGTTGCTATAAAAATGATGAATTGTACACTGAATAAAGAAAAATAGGGTACTGATAATATTCTGGACACAGACTCTAATGAAAAACCRATGTCCCAAACTTTCTCTTTCACAGGATACCTTACTTGTTGCAAATAAAGATGAATTCAAGAAAACATTGCAAGTAAGTGCCACTGACTCTTGGTAAAGGGAAAGAAAATTACAAGTAACAACCTCTCTGTATTTTTTTTTAGGAAGCAGGTTTCCCTCCTGGAGTTATTTTAGAAATACAGATGTTTCTWGAAAAAGGTAATGCTTGAAAGTTTGAAATTCAACCATTGGAGTTTTCATATTCACAAGTATCTGCATGTACAAAAAAGACAAGGATTTACACCATCTTCTGACGATAATGGGAAGTTTGCATGCATGTATGCAGTCAGAACATTGCAAAATGCAAATGATTTCAATTCTAAATAGTTATTTTTTTTGTGTATGTGCACAATTAATCACTTGCTTGTTTTATCGTTTTGTGAAGGAGAAGAAGTTCCTGAAAGAAAAAGGAGTACCAGCAGCAATAAAGGATTCCCTCTTCCGGCCAGGAATACAACAAGCCGCAAACACAACCAYAGCGAACACCACAATCAAAACACAGAGAAACTAGAAAAGCCAATCTACCATGAACAGACTTGTGTACCACCTCGCAAATCTCCTGAATGTCAGCCTAGTAAACATGTAAGCAATGACAACGATCATAGGTTAAAACAAGAACTTACAAAGGCACATTATCAAGTACATGATCAACCACGCAAGTTGTCACATGACCATGAAGAGGCACATAATCACYTACATGAACAGGCACRTTATCAGGTGCCTCAGCAGTCGCAGAAACAGGGACATGATCAAGTGCATGAAAAGGTACACTATCAGGCACGTAAAATTCATGAACASGAAGGCGATCRCRCAMATGAAAAAGCACATTATGAGACATCTCCCAAACAGGGACGTTATCAGGCAAATGAACASACACACTATCAGGCACCTTTGCAACCACACAGACAAGGACTTGATCAGGGACGTTATCAGGGACATAATCAAGGACATGATCAGACACATGAGCAGGCACATTATCAGGGACTTGATCAAGGACGTGATCAAACACATCATCAGGCACGTGATCAAGACATTGGCAAAAGAAAGCAAACAGCTGTCACAGAACAAAGACATTTTGGTCAAGAAAATGAAGAGAACAAAGGAACCATTAGAGAGGCACATAACTTATTTGAACCTTCGTATCTCAGTAGACCGCCTCCTTTGAGAGTAGACCCTGCCTCATTTGAATAYGAACCTGAACAGGAATCYCCTGGCCAYGAAGGCCCTATGTCATATAGTGCAGTTTTGAAGGCAAAAAATGAAGATTCCTTCCCTGAACCGCCAAACAGATCAATGGCTGTAAAACTGACAGCTTTGACAAAGKCYAACACTGCTGAAAATATACCTRCACAAAGCAAACAGCAGTTTTCTAAGACAGCATCCAAAGAAACAAATAAAGACTCTGGTGCAAGTAGAAGAGAACCAGGACCTCGGCCACCGCCTGGATTGCCACCTCTTCCCCCACAAAACTGGGGCCAGTCGCCTGAGATTAGGCTTACTGTTTTACCAAATGCAAGACGAGGAAAACCAGACGATGCCGCAATAAGCTCTGAGACTGAAGCATGGCGTGGGAGGCAGGGCTTTGGGTCACCACCTCGTGCATCTGGGGGGAGGGGTGGAGCATCACCAAGAGGTAGACAGGAAGGTAGCAGGGGACTAACTAGAGCTAGTAATGAATGGCAGCAGGGCAGATCAGAGCCTTTGAGTTGGCGTCGACTAGATAACGAAAAAGCAACAAGGGAGGAACAATTAGTCAGACCTTTTGGACCTGGAGGACAGAAAGCATGTTTTACTTGCGGCAGCAAGGAGCATATGTCATGCAATGACAATTCAAAATTGTTCTTTGACTAAGGATGAAATGGTGGGCACCCACTGGGATTGCCACTCTACCCCCTCAATACATGTACTACCCCCTCAATACATGTACTACCCCCTCAATACATGTACTACCCCCTCAATACATGTACTACCCCCTTAATACATGTACTACCCCCTCAATACATGTACTACCCCCTCAATACATGTACTTAAGTCAGTTGCCTGAGCTTAGACTTTTGTCCTAAATTAAAACCAGGCAATGCTGTAATTAAAGTCTAGAGACTTAGCATGGTATGGTAGACATTGCTTTAGGTCTTTTGATTGATATGTTGCATCTCTGTTTGTTTTGGTTGTAATAAAAGAATTGTAACTCTGACACAGACAGTCGTGTTTTTCTTGCTTAATAATCAGTTAGGACAAATCCTCCAGAATCCAGAAAAAATTGCTCTTGAACAATGAACAATTTCAGATGATTACTGTACCTCATGCTCTTTCATGGCATTGAATATTACTAATCTTTACATTATTTTTAATTTGAAATCACCTTCATTGCGTGTGCAATTTTGTTTATTATCTTGAGTTTTTGTTTGACTGATTGTGAAGATTGCCAAGGAATTTATTTCATACTCTGTTCACCAATTTGTAAATACTTTGATGCAATAATAAATAATATCTWTAATATTATTGTACATTATTAAGCTGATTGGGATCCCGGCTACAGTTAAAACGTCATTGAATATGCAAATTTGRTGCACAGGGTACCCAATATCTGGGTAAAAAAATTAGTGTTGATTTTTTCYATGAACAAATACAAATACAGATGATCACTGTTCCCTTTTTTTTTGAAATGAACCTATAAAAGTAATAAAAATCAAACTCGATTTATTTGCTTTAAATGTCCAAATATGGATAATAACTTATTGCAATGAGGCCAGGTTACAACAACTAGGGCGTGAAATCGACAAGCATGCATCATTCGATGCGATCAAGAGTTCTACGACGCTCCAAAAACCGCTAAGGTAAATATTATTTGAATTTATTGCTTTTCTGTCTTGCTTGTCATCCTATTTAAGCTTTGAGACGAAAAACAAGCTATTTTAGAATGATATTTCTGGCTTTATATAGCGTTTTCTTGGCGGGAAATTTAAACGTTGACAAAGTTCTCGTGATAGCTTAAGYCATTTTATGTTAAGATTAAAAGAATTCTTTAAATGAAGAATGCATCAGAAATAGAAGTTTCAATTACGAGTTCTACTTAACTGATAAAAATTAAGGTTCATAATTTGGCAAAGGCAAAATGTTTAAAGAGTGACTCGCAACATACGCGCCGTACATTTTGTAGCTTATTTAATTATTCAAATAAGAGAGATTTGCTTACAAGCTTATGTACTTTTTTCATGTTGATTTTTTTCTTCAATGTATTTTAAGTTATATTTTGTAGTAAGGTTTTGTTCCCACAGCATTGCATACCATTTCAAGATGAACCAGAACCTAWTGGTAAGTAATTTATAATGGTAATTGAACTGAGTTGAGTGCAATTTGGTTCGGAATCAAACCTGTGATAAAAGAAATAAAATTTTATTAATTCGTACAAATACAATATCTGCTTCTCAAAGGAGTTTGATTAAAATCAGGGACCGCGGAGAGTGAATTTGTATAATATTATCAATAAATCCTAAAGACTTTGCTAAAAAGCTTCAATTTTAATTGTTCACGCTCAGTTTTTACACAATTTTTATAGAATATATATGGTGAAATTTCATAAGGAGGCTCTTCACTTCTTTATTTAAGAAAATACAAAATGTCGGAAAAATTATTGGGATGGCTGTAGCCCCCAGCCCCCAATGCTCCGCGGTCCATGAAAATGGTGGGATTTAGGCTGAAATCAACCAGCTAAGAACCAATCAGATTGCAGGAATCACTTGTGATTTCAAAATGGATAATAATTAAGCAAAATTTATCATATTGATCAGCATTGTGGAATCCTATGTTTATGTGAGTTGCTACCCTCGCAGTGACTCTGCATGTTGGTGATGAATTGATCACAAATATTTTGATTTTCGATTTGAACGTGCACTACCAGAATGCGTGCYAAATGTATAAATACAGATATTTTTGAAAGAGCAGCAATGCAATAATAGCACACCAAACAAACAGTGGTTGATTGCCATTAGTACACAAGTCTTTCATAATTTTCAAAGACTCAGTATCACTCTTGATGCTTTGCATGGTTTGTAATAATTCTTTATATGAAAATATTTTGATGGGTCAATGTGGCTTTAGAGATATTGATAAAAATAGCCTTTTTAAAGTCTTCCTAAGCTTTCAACTAAGCAAGAAATAAAACTCAKTGATAACCCAAGTTTCAAGTCTTATATGGATAAACTGATTGTTGAGAAACAAGCACCTTTCAAACAAATTAGACGAACGATTGCAAGACATCTTAAGTAATACTGGGACTATAAATCCAAGGAAGCAATTTCAATTTATAAAAAAATAATAAGAAGAAAAAGGATGCAATCACAGCATATCAATGGTGTTGTGTTTCATTGCCAAGACTATTTTCTTTTTTCTTTCAGCAACTGCAGCAGATTTTAAGCGCAATCCTTTTACAAGAAGATTGTTTTGTTTGATCATGGTTTACATGTAAGATATTAATAAAAACATTGAGTCTTAATCTTCACAAATACATAATGTACTTTACTTGGTAATTGTCAGTGTCTGTGTGGAGTGAGTAATATGACAGTTATAAACATGATTGTATAGAATGGGRACATTCAAGCCTGTGRAATAGATATAACTTTTGCACACCTAATCAAAGACAATACCCACAAGTTAATGATTGCATTGTTTTCTTTTATTTGTATGCCTGTTGACCAAACTATTACCCTGGTTCATTATTTCACAGGCTGAATGCCATCACTCTGTTTGTTTCCATTGTGAAGAATGTGTCTGTGTGAGAGCCAACACAGGATTGGGTAACCTGTAAAGTTGTTCCCCCATTTTCTYGTGCCCCTTCCCCAAAAGAGCTACACATAGACTTCAGGAAAGGGTGACAAAAGGTACCATAACTTGCAACAAGAAAAGTTTTTTTGGAGTTTTTTTGTGTCAGAGTACATGTAATTCTTCCATTAAATTTTCTTTCTTTTAATTCAATGTCATAAAACACTACAAGYAAAACGTTTTGGTCTTGGATTTAACTATAAGGACTTTCATCTCGCTGTCTCTGAAAATCTTAGAAGACCATTTGCCACCCTTGCCTATAGGAGGTGCTCTCAATGCTCTCCCATGGATAACCACAGCAGGGACAATCATTAAACAAAATGGACTTCAACCTCTTAATAAACAAGGAAAACTGGGGGTGTGAACTGGTTTAATGAAATGAAAGGGTTTCACACTAGGGCTTCCACAGTTGAACCTGGTGAGAATATGTGAATTAATAGTCGACTTTCGCGATCTCTTTTATGCTGTGTTAGCCTCAATTATGTGCAAAATATTCAAAAATTTAGATAAAACTTGTGAGAATTCAAACTATTTCCATTGTCTTCTATACTCATGGATCTCTTACATTTGTACGGACTGCTAGTAAATAACAGAATTTATTACATGGTTTTGAGGCTAACACAGCGTTAAACCGATTGCTAAAAGGGTTTATCGATGAATTTATTGATCTAAGGATGTTGCTTTGATCACTCTTRGTGTGAATTAGTTGTTTAAAAGTATGGAATCAACTGTTTTCTTGTCATGATTAACTGTGGAAGCCTGATCTGGTAGCAGGAAACATAAAATCTAATAGCAGACTATAGCTGTTTATACCCGAAATTCAAAAACGATGACAATTACATTAGCTTGCAAAACTATATCTTCTCAATTTTGGTGAATTTGCATTAATCTTAGAATGATGTTTTGATCACTTCTGGTGTGAATTCAGGGTATAACAGTCAAATGGACTTGCKTTTTGACATAYATRGGYGAATTKKGAGTAGGCAAGTTATCCTATTAAATTATATTGAAAAGGCTGGTRCRCAAACTATAAGACTGATTTTATTTTCACRTAAGCAAYAGCTTGGCAGAGATGTACCATATTAAGATATAATTTCCAAAAAAAAAAACAGAACTTGAAATTTAATCTCAAAGTTTGTCTCTTTTAAACAGGATTTAAACATTTAGAGCTTTACTTTACATTGAATTTAAGAATGTTTATAGGTTCATGGATTAATTCTAACTTTATTTTTCAAGGTTTCAGTGTTCAATGATTGCAGCAGTTTAAAGAATGGTTTTTGTGTTATTGTTGTGGAGATTAGTTTATAGTGGTTTAAGGTTTTTGTTTATTTCGTTTAGTTTATTTCTTTTAGTTTATTTGTTTATAGGGTTGTTTACAGTTTTATATTGCGTGCCAGCTTTAGAACCCTGTGAAATTAAAGTCAGTAAATAGATTAACCTGCGAAAGGAAAGAAACATCAGTTAGAATGTGATTTGAACCCTTACCTCTAAGCTTACCTTCTGTCCAGTAGTCTGCTGTCTTGAACACCAAGCCATCTAGTGAATTGCTGGTTCAAACCGCTCAACATCAAAAGTCATTGTTTGAATTTGCATGAATTGTGACCTGCTATAAAGTTAACTTTCGAAGCCTGACCAGCAACTTCGACTAGATGGCTTAGTGGGTTAGTGGTTGGGCTATGAATCGGACAGTTAGGAGTTCAAACCTCGGTTATAGATTTCTTTCTTTCGGGAAACTAAGATACCTTTCAAAAATTATAGTTTTATTTATTTCTGATTTCAAATTAATGCAATAGTAAACAAGTAGTAAACAAGGGTGCGGTGGTCGCAGTAGGT